CTGAGGGAGCTGGTGGAATACTTCCATTTCTTTCTCACTGGCATTAGTGGATGGTGTGTAAAAGCTGGATCACCTGGTCTTCCTTATACCAGTAGAGTGTCTCCTTTCCCAGATAGCATCGGACTTCAAGACATCCTGAAATGTTCTTTTGGACAATGCCCTTTTGATGCCATTCTCCTGGAATTAGTTTTTCCCAGCAAAGTAGACCAAAGGATTGTCTGATCCACAATGGCTACTTTCAGCTCATGAATGCCTAGGATATTGATCTTCTTGTTTGCCTTTCTGGACTTGTCCATTGGTGAGTGGTGAGGACTAGGTTTGGTTGAGTGGGCGAGCTTGAAATTCTCGGGAGAGGGGTTGGGAGTTTGGGACTTGGATTCTTCCGTAGGGAGCAAGATTCTAGATGTGGGAGGACTTCAGGTCAGAGAGGATGGAAGCCAGCATTCCCATAACCTAGTTCGGGGCTAGGAAGATGACTAGCATATTGGCAGTGGGGACAGAGGAAGAAGTACGTTTAGGAACCTGCGACACACGAAGCAGCAAGGTGAGTGGTACAGTGTAGCAGATCGTTTAGAAGGTGAAACGGTCCCTGGTACCACGTCCAACAATTAGCCACTCCAGGAAGGAAAGGCCATTGGGCCTTTAGTGGGCGGGGGCGGGAGGGATGTGGCAGTCTGCCGTGGTAAAGATGACAGCTTTGAAAACCCAATGGGGCAATTCTACCTTGCCCTATGGGGTTGCTATGAGCCAGAATCAGTTTGTGGCTTATTTTTTATTTTTAACTTTTAGGAGGTCCAGGAAGATGAGCCCACAACGACCTGGAGTTCTAAGAGGACGAGGGAGGCTGAGAATGCCGGGCCAGTTCCCAGGAGAAGGACAGGAGCCAGGAGGTGGGATGAGGCTCAGAGACATGAGAATGAGATTTGATCCATCACCTCGTTGTCTGAAGCTTCATTAACAAGGACAGATGTCAGGGCACGCAGTGCAGCGAGTAGGTGGCAGGCAAAGAGAGGGCTCCTGGCTGGGGGGCTGGCATTGGGGCCATCAATACTTCTCCCACCTGTTTGCTTTTGTTACCAGTTCTTCAGAAAGCACGGACAAGCAGACAACAGCAGGGACAACGGTCATCAGTGGGACACTCACTGATTCCGAGGAGGCACTAGGAGGCACATCTGGGCAGACCATTTGGACATTTGCCAGACACCGCAGAGGAGGTGGGTGGCTATGTTCTTCACCCAAGAGGACCTAGAAGTGCCTGGGGAGAGAGGTCTGGTAGTCCACTTCCCTAAGACCAGAGCCACTGAAAACCGTAGGGAGCCCGGTTCTAAGCAGCACATGGGGTGGCCCTGAGTTGGACCTGACTCATTAACAACTGATTTGATTTGACCAGGAAAGACACGACAAGCTTTTCAGAACTTCTGGGGCCACCAGGATTAAAGGGCTGAGCCCCACTATAGGATGAAAGTGGAAGAGTGGGGTTCACTGCTGACCCCCGTTAGGTCGCTATGTCCTTTGGCGAGGGCGGGCCATCACCTTTGCTCTTATAAATTGGGAGAGAGACAAGGAGTCTCTATTTTCAGTGTTTCAGGGTTACTTGAGGTACATCCTGGGCTCCATCCCTTGGGAGATGTGCAGGTGCGGGCTGGGACCTGGGTTTCCACAGGTTTGGTAAACTCTAGGGTCTCTGATGGGCATGGGGCAGGGTGCCAACAGGTGGGTGAGTCTCTGCGGCCCCTCTGACTGGGATGCCAGGGGACTCCTGGGTCCCTGAGAGGCAACTTGCACAGCCACCTGGAGCCACTGCATGGAGCCACTCGAGGTCTGTACTGAAGCTCCAGCTCTGGCTCTCAGGGCTCTCTGTCTGAGTGCTTGGCTGCCTGGCTTCAGATCACAGGGCCCAGCATGAGTGAGCCCTGGGGAAGCCCTGGAGGAGGGGTGGTGACCAGCCCAGCCCAGGTCTTCAAGGAGGGGCTTGGGAGAGACCCTACCCTGGGCCTCCCGCTGGGGCTCTGGGTGCAGCCAGGTCCTGCTAGTGTCAGTCCAGGCCTCCTGGGCCTCTGAGAGGGGCCGGCCTCAGCCTGCATTCTCCCTCCTTAACTCCCCCCATTCCGCTGTGGCCTGCAGCGTGGGAGCCCACAAAGCCTGCCCCACAAGGATGATCCAGTGAGGTGACCTGTGTGGAGACAGAGCGAGAAAGTGAGGGACGAAAGAGGGGGAACTGCAGGCAGAGTCACAGCTGCTGTGAACCAAGCCCTACCTCTGCGCAGGCTCAGAGAGGGCTCCCTCACTCCTAAGGAATGGGAGGTCCCAGTAGGGCGGCCTTGTCTGGTCACCCTGATTTGGGACAGTGGCATTCTGGGATCACTAATCCAAAAGGACTGATGGTCACTCTATCCCTGTAGCAGCCAGACAGCCCCTCTCTGAGAGACGCCAGGCCTGAGACCAGGGGCTACCCTCGGCTACATGCCAGGAGAGGACTTAGCAGACACGAGTCCAGCTATAGACCTTCAAAGAGGGTGCGCACCCTGGATGATGCAGTGGGTCTAATCTAAGCCCCCAAACCCAAGGCTCTCCAGTCGGTTCTGTCTCATAGCCACCCGATAGGACAGGGCACAACGGCTCTGAGGCTTTCTGAGATTGTAACTCTTTATAGCAGTAGCCAGCTTCATTTTTCACCCAAACAGCAGCCCAAAGTTTAACTCATGGCACCACCAGGGCTCCCAATCCAATCATCAAACTCAAACTCACTGTCATTGAGTTAATTCTGACTCCTAGCGACTCTATAGGACAGATTACAACGGCCTCTGCGGGTTTCCGAGACTGTAAATCTTTATGGGAACAGAAAGCCTCGTCTTTCTTCTGTGGAGCAGCTGGTGATTTCAAAATCCGGACTTGTGGTTAGCAGCTTACCTGGAACCCTTACACCACCGGGGCCCCTCGAATCCAATTACACCAGCCCCTAAAGAAGCAAGAGAGTCATAGGCCACCACCATCTCTTGAAGCCCTGGGCTGGACTAGTCACTGTGCTCGTCTTCAGGGGCTCCCCAGAGCTCACTCGTGCTGGCCCTGGGGTCTGAAGCCAGGCAGCAAAGCACACAGACACACACCCAGAAGGCAGGCCAACAGACACCTGTGGTCCATGCTCACTGCAGCACTTCTGTCTGACAAGTGCCAAGAGCAAAGGTGTTGACTGTCAGATGACGGAGCCACATGCTGGGACCAGGAATCCCCGCAGCGGAACACTGCTGCGTCATAACAAGACACGGTGTCCGGACACGCCGACACCTTGGTCTGGGCATGCCGGCACCTCGCAGACACTTTGCCGAGCGAAATGGCTTATCTCCTGTTCGAGTCAGTGATCTGTCCTGCATGGGCGCTAGAGCCAGAATCAGCCAGAGGGCTGTGGGTGATACATGGGATCCAAGGGTGGTGGCTAGAGGTAGGAGGGAAGGAGAAAGGGGGCCATTGCTCAGGGATCATGGAGTGCCTGTGAATGGTGGTGGGATAATTTGGTAAATTAGAGTGAGAATGGGTGCCCACTGGGCAGACTGAACTCCAGGTCATTGAGCTATTTGTGGAGAGACTGTTGAACTGGTGTATGTTTTGTGTGTATGTACACGGATGAGTGCAGCAATAAAATCATTTTCCAAAATGACAGAGCAGAGCCCTTTCTGGCTGGTGTGTGTGTGTGTGTGTGTGTGTGTGTGTGTGTTGGGCAGCAGTAAAGGCAGAGGGACTGCAAACCTTGCTGGTCCACATACAAGGTCTGAGATAGACCTTGGGACAGGTGTGGACTATGTGAGAAAGAGTGCTTGGAGCTTCTAGGCTGGCCCCTGGACACAGGCACCCAGGTCTGACCATCTCAAGGTCCCTGGATCCAGGGGTCTTCACTAGAGGATGCCACCTTGCTGAGAGGGGTTGGACTTCTTACCTCTGTGATACTGAAAACAAAACCAACCAACCCCCAAACCCTCAAAACACCCAACCCTGACACGGAGTTGATATCAACTCATAGCAACCCTAAAGAACAGGGCACAACTGCCCCCCTGGGTTTCTGAGGCTGTAACTCTTTACAGGAGTAGAGAGCCCTGTCCTATTACAGAGCTCCTGGTGGTTTTGAACTGCTGACCTTGCAGTCAGCAACCCAATGCATAACCACCACACCACCAGGGCTCCCTTCTGTGAGGGGTTGCTAAGTGTCGAGGTTGGTGGCAATTTGTCCCAGCAGCACCGGAAGACAGCCCCCTTTCTCCCACAGCGGTCTGTCTGGGACTGTTTACCCGTGGAAGGTGCTTTCTGCATAAGCAGGGAGTCCTGGGCAGATCCTGCAGGGCCATGGGTAGGAGGGAGGCTGCTCTGTAGATGACTCAAATGTCGCCTGTGACTCCTGGTGCCAGGCCTGGAGTAATTCCATGTTCTCACCAGTCCTAAGGCCAGAATCTCTCGCTCAGAAAGGATCAGGGCCCCCTCCACCATGGGAACTTCACCTCTGGACTCTGGGCCTGAGAACACTGGGAGTTGCTCATGTACAACTCCGGAGAGATAGGCCCATGGTAAAGCTGAGTGGAAGGATGGGCAGGGGGCTGGTAAGGGGCCCACCAGGGCTTGGGCAGCTGGCCAGGCTCTGTCTCCAATTGTCCACATTATTCTGGGTGAATCTCCGCATGTCCAGTCTCCTTTCTTCGCCTGTAAGAAAAAGGGCGGGGACACAAGGCCCAGAGAAGTTTCTCTCCAGATTTCAACACTGGCCAGGTCTGCTGGTCCTGCGGGCACAGGAGAATTCCACACCTGCCCGGAAGGCGGACAGCTGGGCCAGGGAGGGAGGAGTGCAGGAGGGCGGGGCCGGCCTGGCGCGCCCGCCCCGCTCCTGGGCGCGCCCCTGCCCGCCCGGCCCAGCTTCGGGCTTTTTAGTCCCGGCGCCCGCGCCCTACGCGCGCCCGTGCCCCGCTGTCCGCCCCACCGGCCACTGCGACCTGCTCTGGGCACAGTGCGGAGTGGGCATGGCCCACCAGGGCGCCGCCGCGCTGGCGCTGGTCCTCGCGCTCCTGGCCGGGACCCAGGCCTCGGTTGCAGAGGACGCTGACTACCGTGTGCAGGAGACCTGGGAACGGGAGCCCTACTATGCGCGTCCGGACCCCGTGCCCGAGCCCTTCTCGCCACCGCTGCCCGCGGGGACCAGGGAGTTGGCACGAGGGTTGCCTGAACCCAGGCCGCCCAAGAAGGCCACCAAACCCAAGAAGGGGCCCAAGAAGGGGAAGCTGCCTCCTGAGCCTCCGCAGCCAGGTGAGTGACTCCTCCCGGGGCTCCAGGCCGGCCTCGCTGAGCGTGGCCGCCCTCGGGGCTCTGTGGCCTCAGGGGTCGCGGTTCCGTGCACTTGGGCACTCCGCCTGCCCTCCCAGCTGCGCACAATTCGAACAACAGACTTCCTCTGGGCGGCCCTAGCTCCAGCCCAGGTGGTCAGGGTGCTGCCTCTTGGGAAGCTGCCTGGAGCGCAGCGCACTCCGCCGACTCAAGGTTTACCTTGCTGCAGCGCGCGCAGCCTGCGCCTCCTGCACCTGGATCCGCCTGCACTGCGCAGGGGCGCTCTCGGAGTTTCTTACTCCTCTCAGGAAACTGCTGGCTTCCTTGCTCAAAATGGCCCTTTTGGGGGGTGGGGAGGAGGTCCGTCGCCTGCCCCGCCCAGTTTCTCCGCTTGGCTTTTCTGGTGTCCAATGGTTGACCTGTGTACTCTACCCGGTTAGGGGGGGGATGACCTGACCTTCCTGGGTCGCAGGTTTCCATGGCTGGGCTCTGGGACTTGAGGAGGGGGACTGTAGGAGTCTTGGAAGGGTGACAGGGTTCCCTCACTCCAGTCTCTCTACTGGAAGGCATCTCTAGGCCAGCCCTGAACTGGGGACTTGACTTCCATTCAGGTATTCTACACACCTGGGATCGGAAGTGAGCCTTGTCAAGATTCCAAACTTTTTGCAAGACACGTTGTAAGAGGCTGCATTCTACTCTTTCAAGTTCAGAGTGGGGGTGGGGCAAGTAGGAGTGTGGACAAATTCTCCCTCCGCATCACGGTCTCACCTGCAAGGAGACACTGCCCATGCTGGCATTGCCCGCCTGGGAGGAAGTCCTAGCAAGCTCCGAGAAGAACGGTGGGGCTGGGGCCAGAGCCCTGGCATGGGGTCCCATCCCAGCAGCCTTCTCTGCCCACTTGAGTGTGTGGGGGCAATGCTGAGGCTTTTCACCCTGGACAGAGCGCTGGCATTCCCAGAAGCCACACTCACTTTATTTTCATATGTTTTATAGGTGAGGGCGGTGAGATATGGGCGAGAGGGGTTGCAGCCAGCAAGGTGGCACTGGTTGAATGACAGAAGAAGGGGTGGGGAGAGGGGTTCACCAGGGCTCACCTGGATGGGCTCATTTGATACATCTCCCTCAGGAATTCTCCCTGCAGCTCCCAGGGGGTTGAGGAACTTGATGTACAGGGAGTTTGAGTAGCTGGCTCTGGCCACTGGGCCCATGGGGAGACTTGAAACAGCTCTTCTGAGCTTTCTGAAGGGGAGGTCCTTTTGTGTCTGATGGTTTGATGTACCTCGGAGTGTGTTTTGTTTTGCTTTTAGCATCTGCTTCATGTTTGGCACAGCGCTGGGCACAATGGGGTGGCCCCCCGGGGGTGGATGGTGGGGTGGACATGGGCCTCTGGCAGTCACAGTCGCAGAGGGCTGCCGGTGGTAGGTGAAAGCAGGTCCCTGGAGGACACAATGGTTTGCATTTCACTGCTGACCCACAGGTTGGTGGTTGAAGTGCTTGGGGGACCTGGGGCACTTCTGCTGGTGGTAAATGAGAGGCAGGGTGCCTGTGTTGGGAGGGCTGTGTGCGGACGGCCATTGAGCCCCTCTAGTGGCCTCTGCTGCTGACCTCCAAGCTCAAAACAGGCCTCTAAGGAGGGGTGGTGGTGGTCCAGATCAGCCCCAGAAGCTCTGCTAGGGACCTCTCAGGCAGTTGGCTCCAGGCCAACCCCCAGGGTGGAGTGGGGGGGGGGAAGGCTGGAGGAGGGGCATTTAGAGCCCTTGACACTGCTTCACTCTCAGCTCCATCCCTTTCTTCCTGGGGATTGGCCAGCAGAGCCCTCCTTGCTGTACCCCAAATGTGTGCGTGTTGGGTGGGGGCAGGGGCTGATTTCCGAATCCACGTGGCTCCAGGCAGCGAATTAAGAGGTGACGATCTCATGCCAGAAAACCACCAGAGAAAGAGGCGCTTGGGTCTCCACTCTCCCGGGCAGCTTGGTATAGATTCCCCACAGGAAGCCATCGCCAGGCACTGTGGCACCATAGCATCAGCTCCCTCCCCATGTGTGTCAAGTCGAACTGGGCTCCGTTTTTTTTTGTTGTTGTTTTGTTTTAAGAGATTGTCAGGCCTTTCTTCTGCAATGCTCCTGGAAGGGCTCAAACTTCCCCCTTTCTTGCTTAGTAGCCTTTTGCACTTGTCTTGCCATCTGACTGGCCACCCAGAGGCTTCCAGGATGTCATGGCTGATGTTATAGGAGCCCTGATCTCTGCTTCTGAAGATCTCAAGCAGGCTGGCTCACCACCTCCAGAAGTCCTTGGCAGAGGAAGGCACACAGACTCACCGCCAGGGTGTTTATTGCCAGCTCTGGACTTGGCTTTGCTGTGGGCTAGTGCATGCTGTGTGCCAGGCAGCACTGTTTTTGGCACCGAGCTTCCAGGGAAAGGCCAGGCTTTGAGAAGAATAAGGTTGGGGTACCTTTAACTGAAAAGTATATCAGGTCGGTCACACTTGGCAGGGGCACTGGTGACGTAGTGGTTACACATTGGGCCTGTGAGCCTAAAGGTCAGCAGTTCAAAACTATAGTTACATAATCTGGTATCAATTTGAGGAGTAAGAGTGAAGGGGTGGAGTTAGCCTGTCAATTGGGTCATAGCCAGTGAGGCCTCTGTGTGGACATGGCCTTCTCCTGAGGATTCTGGGAACTCCAGTATTCCTCCTTAGAGGCGGGAGACACACTCTCTCTCTGCTCACACCCTGGGAGACATAACAGCTGGTAAGACACATGGAACTATGCCAGTGCCCTGAGCTGGAAAAGCCATGTGGAGACCCCTGCCAGCTCTGCGATGCTTACAATGCCACTGAATCCACAAGGCTTCCCATCCACTGGCCTGTGATCTTCCTGCATTCAGCGTCGTTGCATGTGTTGTGTGAGTCTGAAGAGGAATTTATAGACTGGTATCAGACATATGGGCTAATATCGGACTTATGGACTTGATCTGGACTGGACGTATTTCCCTGTGAAGCCTCGTCTTGCGTGGAGGTTGGGCACAGGGGGAAGGTGACACCCCGGGCGGACGGTCCAGAAGGAATCCCCTTCGTAGCCCTATGCGGACAGTCAGAAGGAGGGCTGGTAGTGCCAGGGTTAGTGGCCGGCTGCTGACAGAATGGCCAGTGGTCTGAACCCACCAGCTGCTCCACGGAAGGAGGACATGGCAGTCTGTGTTGGTAAATATACCAACCTGACCAGCCCTGCGGGGCAGCTCTCCTCTGCCCTAAAGGCTTCCTATGAGTCAGAACCCACTCATGGCTGTGGGCTTGGCTTTGGGCTTCAGAGGAAGCAAACAGAACCCGAAGAAAGACTCCTTGAAGGTGGCTGGTCTTCCTTTGCCCACGAATGGGGACTGGGTTAGTGTGGTGTCAGACCTGCAGCCTGGCCTTTGGGTTTCTGCTGGGTGGACTGCTTGTTGCTTCCTTCCCCGACTGACCTAGGATGCGAGCCCGCCCTCGTGAGCTGTGGGATTTGCAGAGTGGGCAGGGAACCAGGCTCTGCGGCGTATCCATGCCCAGAGCTGGTTTGGGGTACACAGCGCGTTTACATTCAGTGCTGAGTTGTGCCCCAGCCTCGGGGGAAATAACCCAGAGCTGCTCTCTGAACATATTTGCGTGTAAACAAAGCCCTTTCTGTTGCGTGTGTGCCGGCCCCTTGGTTCTGTCCGGGATCGCAGCCTGTGCACTGCAGAGCACGGACAAGGAATCTCTTAGCACACCTTAGCACAGGTCTACCTCTCGCCTCTTACTGAGGCGTCTCATAGGCTCGCTGGGACAGGGAGTCCTGGGGCTGTGTCCAGATCTGGGATTTGTGAGGAAAGACTCCTTAGGTCACAGGAAGGTTATTCTGTGCCGTCAGCAGCAGCCTGCTAAGACCCACCTCCTTTTCCAAAATACCTTCCCAAATCTGCTCTTCCCTTGAGCCCGTCACAGCCTGCCTCCACTGTGGGTCTCACCTGGGCTCCTGGGTGGGCGATAAAAGGGGCTCGGAGGAGAGGTGGGAGGGATGCCTCATTTCCAACACAAGGACCCTGGAGTGGGGTCCCCTTGTGTTTGCAGTGGGTCCTGCCTGCCCATGGCGGCCAGGAGATGATGCCAGCCTGGCCCTGGTGCCATGCTGAGGGCCGCCTCCTCTCATTGTCCTGAGATGACCAGGGGCTCAGGCTGGGCATTCTAGGAAAGGGCACCCACCCTGTGCCCCCTCAGACCCTCACCACCACAGCATCTGCTAGCCAGGGCACGGAGCAGGGGAAGTGGGTCTCTTTGATGGTCACAAGATTTCCTGTCTGATCCCGTGGGGCTAGTCAGTTCCCTGCTGGATATTGTGGGATGGTGGGCATGGCACTGCCCTTGCTGGATGCTGGCTTCAGATGGGAATGTGCCAGGTGGGCACTGCCTCTCTGGTCCACGCACACCATGTGAGTGCACAACGGGGCTAGGTCACACTCTGCCGCTGCTCCCTGCAGGCATGGGTGCCTTCCTTCTCCCTGTAGCATGGGATTCACAGCAACGCCCAGACCCTGGGGTGAGCAAGGTCAGCGGTCTTCCCAGCCTCTGGGGACAGGTTAGAGGCACCGTTTTCCTATCCCTCAAGGTCCCTAAAGCATCCCATGTGGAACTCAGCCGGTAGGGCACCCTGGCCTGTACCCTTCCTACTCGACCTCCTTGCACCCTGAGACTCAGTGCAGCCTCTGTTTCCAGGCAGAACTCAAGCGGTGATCAGAAAAGTCCAGCAGAGTTTGCCTATTGGCTGGCACACTGCCATCCGCTGCTGGGCCGAGGCACCTCTTTGAAGGCAGAAACCAATTGCCACCAAGTCTTTGGTGACTCACGCTGACCCCGTGTGTATCCGAATAGAGTTGGGCTCCAGAGAGCTTCCAGGGGCCGATCTTTCAGAAATCGATCACCAGGCTTTTCTTCCGAGGTGCCTCTGAAGGGACTCAATCCGCCACCCTTTG